ATAATTAAATAATGGAAAATGTCACCTTATTGCAGGAGAAAGAAAACATCAAAGATTGATATTCTTGGTGTTTCTACAGAACTCTATGGAAAAATACAGATCCTCAGAATGGGTATTTTCCATTTTTGATTACTAGTTCCAGTTAATATTGTTTGAAATGAGGATAAGATTTTCAGTTTAGCCTGTTGTAAAGCTTTATTTATGTTGAAAGTTAATTAATACTTTTTTTTCCCCTAAGGGAGGCAGGATACCATCCTTAGAATCAACATACTTGCAGAGGTGCACAAGTATTCAGCATAGCAACTGAATGCTTGGTGTCTCTAGCATTGTTTCAAACTTACCTTTTATTTTCTCAAAAAAACTACTAATATTGAGTAACTACAATTGTTAGGATTTCCAGTCTGATCAGTGGGAGTAAATTTCAGCTTTTCCAGCCTTATGTTTGAGCCAGAAGCCAGTGATCACACCGAGCTGAGCCCGGCCTGCGTCCTCGCTTTCGGTGGTGCTGAGGAAACCTGGCTCCTAATGGGAGGTAGAATAATTATGGGAACTTTATACATCTCTCTGCTGAGATCTGTGAAGCTATCAGAGGCAGAACTTCCTGAGAAGTTTGCCTTTGATGTTGCTACAAGAACTTAAATGCGCTCTTTATAGGATAGGCAGGCAACTTGCAGTATATGAAAAATGTAATAATTATGTCACCATTAGAAGTCATGTTGAGGCTGCATAGTTGTCAAAACCTTGTGCAGTCTGCATTAACTCTAGTGCTAGTACTGCACTTGGAAAACAAACACAGAAAACGTGTCATTTCAAGACAAATTTTTTAAATTCTGGCGCTAAGTTTTATAAAATTGTTCAGAACTCTTATCACTTAACAAGAAGAGAGTTTATGAAGTTCTTGAAAGATTTTCAATGTAACTGGTCTGTCTAGAAACTAAAATGACATTAGTAATTCCAGACATAATTTAACTTTTAAAAAAATAGGTAATATTGAAATCCGTTATAAATAGTAATGATATCTGAGTAGACTATAAATATAGCTTTTATTCATAAACTTTTATTATACTCATACCATCTGATTATTTTATAATATGTATTAAGTTATTAGCCCTTGATATGACACTTCACCTTGAAGTCACTGTTGTACATTATTTTGTTAGGCTACTATGCTTGTCAGTGGAATACAGGTAGTGAAAGTTTAGGTTTTTTGCTTATTTTACAAACTAGAGAAATAATTTAGAGTCATGGTTATGTAATCTGATATATGATCAGGAAGCAGTCAAGGTCAATGAAACCATTGTAAGAATTGTGTATAATAAATAAGAGCCTCAGACTCCAGGTGGGATATACAAAATGGTTCAATTTTACTTGACTAAAATTTTCAGAAGTTAATGAATTGGATGCCTTAATTTAGGATTCCTGTGATAAGCTCCATTAAAAAGGTGTTGTATTTCCAGAATATTAAACACATGATTTGAACAAAACCAGCAAATTTGAAGGCACCAGGAATTGTTCACTACCTTCAAAGATCCTTATGCTATATTCTACTTTTTGAAGCCCTAGTTTGCCTTGAACATCTAATTCCTAGGCTTTTGTTCAAGAGTACTTGCTTTAAAGTAGTTGATGGCCTGCAAATATTTTAAAAGGGTTCTTATATATTTTTCTCCTTTAGTCTGTGACAATTCCTCTATACTCCTGATGCAGGCATTACAGTGACTTAGCAATTCACTCTTAATATTAAACTTCACTTTTCTTAATATTGTACTAATATATATTCAGGAATTTAAATAAAAGTTGAAAGGAGTAATCAGATGCAGGAAATTTTATTAGTATTTTTTTTAACTTAAGGTTCAGATGCCAGAACCATGGAGCATTGCATTATAGTTTCAGTATTCACTTAAAAAGAATAGTTTCTCTGATTACAGTGAACGCTTTGGGAACACAAAGCATGATTCAAAAGAGAGAAGGATTTAAAAAATATGTTTTTCAGATTTTTAATAATTTATTTTTGAGTCAGTCTCGAAACACTTTGGACCTTTTCTCATGAGTTTGCACTCAAGTGGGTTTATTTTCCAACTTTATAGTCTGAACTTTGGAGATGTATTCACTGTGGAAATATCTAGTATTTGAAGGAGTTCCTGTTGCAGTATTACATGAGCGCTACTGGAAATGGATTCTTGAAAGTGTCATTTTTGCATCCTGCATTCTGCAAAGCCTGGGTAAAATTGTTCCAAGTCTGTCTCAGGTCTGTTATTGCTTCCCTTCGCTAAAGGAAATGTTATTGCTGGTCTGTTATTGCTCCCTTTGTGGGAGGAGTAGGGGCACTGGAGAAGCTGGTAGTTAATTAGTCTGCACTTGTCCCAAAGTTTCCTCATCAACCACAGAGTCAAAAACCCCCGTGATGCTGTCAGTATGGATATCTGGCCTCAGATCCTTCCTTTGGTGTACATACAGTGTAAAGCTTCCCAATTCCCAATATTAATGATATTGATTGGTTTTCTTTGGTTGGTTAAGTAATACTTTATTTGCTGGTAAAGAAGTTATTGATTTTATAAAGGATTGGAGGGAATAGACAAATTGTAATGTTCCTTTTCGTATAGTTATATATTGAAAGTTACATTTAACTTTAAAAAGACTTTTCTGTATCTTAGAAGCTAACAAGTAACAGCCATAATCTGTTCTCCAGCAGAATGAAATGATAGCTGGACTCCAGTGGCAGCAAGTTCATTTTTTCAAGTGGCTGTAAAGAGTGAAGCTCCTAAACAGAAGGGCCTTTTAAGCATACCACTAGTGTAGTTCTTTTTTTTTAAACTATGTAACTTTGATTAGCCTGTTATTTGTTTGGGCTTTTTCCATGTAAATAGTTTTCTTTTTTATTTTAAATAAAGGGTTTTGGTTATCAGAAAACATTAAAAGACTTGCAGCTTAAAGAAATGCACATTTGTGGGTAAGCCCCTAAAGTAAATGGCTTGAAATGTTATTCAAAATAAGGAAAAGCCCAGTGTAGCTTATAGCTGCTACACTCTTTTCTCTTAAGTATAAGGAGAAAATGTAAGATGCCAAGCATTTGATTCATCAGAGGTGCATTTGAAGATTAATTAACCCAAATTATAAGTAATGGAGTAGGCAACCCTCAAAGATTCCCTTAGATTCCCTTTACAGAGAATAAACAGAGACTCTGACAGTAGGGGAACAATGGATCTCTCTGAGGGCTCCAGCATCTGCATTTGCCATGGACACAGAGCGTGTTCAGTTAGGTACTTGAGCAGAGATGTTTGGAGCACTCTGTTACAGAGAGACATACACACAATAGCAACGTGCTGTCATTGTAAATGTCACTGTCTGTGCAACAATATAGAGGCTGAGCAGTTGTCTTTATTTGGAAATCTGTCCTGGTAATTCCTGAAGGCATTTTAGCAGGGAATCCGTGGTGTTCTTGAAGTTTCTGTTGTGTGAACAAATATGTTACTGTAGTAGACAGGCATGGTTCTTAGAATTCAATCCATATATGACTAGACAAAAAAATCCAGTGCAGTCTCAGCAGGAGTTTCATATTGTAATTAAGATGTATAGATATTATAGTTATGTTTTCAGGTAGAAATTTGCAGTTTAAAGTTGGAAATAAAATAACCCAAGGGGGAAAATCATCTAAACAAATTACTATATTATCAAGAGAACTTAGAGCAAGTTTGTTTGTATGAATGTCAGAGTGCATGTGTAAAAACCCCAAAAAATCAGGCATCTGAAAGCAAATTAGTGATTTGGTAGTTGCAGTAATTCAAAAAAAAATCCATGATGGTGTGTAGACCTGGAAGTCTCACTAATCAAACAAGTGTATTCAGCATGGCTATTGTATTTTGTATTTGCAATTGTGTATTTCAGGAGTTGATGTGGCCCACTATGCAATGTCCTGTTTTGGTGATGCATATGTTTAAGACATCTCCACCTTTCTTTCTTTTTTTGCACAAACATTTATGTGCATACTAAAGCCATTAATCCAAGTAAAAGAACATAAAAAAAGTCCTACAGTATTTTTTTTGTGTAAGGAATCTTAATGGTTTTTGAGAGAAATACTGAAATAGTGTAAGGACTAGGGAAATGCAAAAAAATACATGTTATTTAAGCTGACTTTTGAAATCTATGGCTGCAGTTGAGAAATAATATGGAATAAGTGTAAATTTGGACATGAGGATTTGAGGTTTTTAGGTAATTCTTGGTGAGTGTATTTGCTGGAATACAGTTTTCCTTGTCCTGAAGTGCCAGTCTGACTAGGGACTATTTTGTATTTGAAATATTCACCTCACAAATCCTAATACACTTAGTTAATTATTAACCCCACTTAGTTCTGCTCATTAACAATTTCCAACAAGCTCATTGAAATATAGATTGCTTCCTCCAAATATTTTAGTAATGGACTCCCCCTAGGACTATGTGTAGATTATAATATGATGAAAAATCTTATCGAGTGTAGTTGCTTAATATATTACCCCTATAACTTTAACAGATGCTATTAATGTCATTATTGTTGGTTGTTATTCATTGCTAGAATAGCTGAAGCACCATCAGCACTCAAACTGGAAAAGGTAAAAAGCCAGATACTGCCAGGCCTCCTGGTGATTTAACTGACAGCTGTCAATGTGTATCACAGGACTTGGGTTTCCACTAAAGAAGTAAAGAAAAATAGTCCTTTTAAATTTTCAAAAGTTAAATATGTTTTTCTATAATGTATATTTTTTCTGATTCTACTCACTTTTGTACAAAAAACATAACTTCAGGATGTTTTTGACAAGATCTGCAGGCAGTATGGTCTTGATGTGAGCTAGACTTCTACATACTTGTGGTCTTATTTCGGCACTTAGTGATTGAAAACTGTCACTTGGATTGACATCTCTTGTATGTATAGCATGGTAATGTGTTTTCCTTTGTAAAGTTTTTACTCTAAGCAAATAAAATAATGTATTATTTGTCTGATATGTGGCTCTTTTTGTTTGGCAGGGTAACTCCATCTTCCGAAAATCCCAATGGTGCTACCTGTAGTGTAAGTCAGGGAAAGCCCTCTTTAAGAAGAATAAAAGGGAGAATACACAGAAGCAAAAGCCTTGATAGCATTGATTTCTGTGAATTCACTGTAAGTACTATATCTTTTACATTTATCCTATGTGAAGTTAAGAGAATCTTATTAATAAAGCATTTTGCTTCTTGCATTGGGTTTACCTGTTTGACAGATTAGCAAAGGTATTGTACTTAATGTTTTATTGCCTTGCTATGCTGCCAAATATTTCGAGCAGTGATGTACAGCTACATTCTTGCTCTTCAGTGACCATGAGACAGAAATTTCTGTGTCAAATTTGAACATTGTTGCCTGTGTAAGATTAAGAAATTGACTAGAAATAGAGTAAACATAAAAACCAAATTTTATTTTTATATTGAGATTTTGGATATTGCGTTTAAAGTCAAACATTGCTTTTTACAAAACCCAGAAAACTATTTCAGTTGCACATGGCTATAATAAAGTGCTAGAAAAGGAAATATATTTATCTAAAATATGTATATGCTTATAGCACTTGAAAGCTGGTATTACAGGTGATAGTTACTACAATTGGGCAGTGCTGGTATATTCCTTTTCTCTTCTCTTTGGTTAGGGGGTAGATGTGTTTGTGTTACAATTTCAGAAACTTCAGTGTGATCATGGTAAAGAACTGTGACAATGTCCTAACTAACTGGAGGGAATTTGGTCAAAACAAATTATATTCTGATAAACTAAAATAATGTACTGTTTAAATACTTAAACAATGTCAAAGAATATGTTAAATTATAAATTGGTTATGAGATACGAGGATGAAAGAGCTAAAAAATATGTGCTGTCTTTAAAATGTAGAAATCAATAGTGATGTGAAGATATTGTCTGGCATTGCATAGTGCTAGAAACAATATCACTGTAATTTTCAGATGGGATTTGGGGAAACATCTTTAAGGCATAGCAGTGGTTTGAGTGTGTTGTCTTTCAGTGGGATGTTTTCCACAGATGATGCCAATAGCATAATTGGTATTTTTTTCCTCAAGACAGTTTTGTTTCTAATTGCGAAGTCCTGCAGCGCTGTCTTTGGGACAAAGAGCTTGTTGTTTGCTGTTCAGGGAGGTACTGAAGTTAGGATGTAGTGTGTTGTGTGGTGCCCAGATACTTCTGGATACGGCCAGTCTTGCACGGCCGTGTGCCCTGGCTGGGGAGCGTGTGAGGGAGCTGTGCTCAGGCTGTGCTGCCCCATTTCCAGCTGCCTTAGGTGTGTCTGTGCTAACTCTTGTCACAGCACCGATCCCGCTGCAATCATCGCTCTGCTGAAGGTTACAAATTCTCCTAGTGAGCAAAATTTCCTTCTGCTATATGGGTCTTCGTCTGTGTGGTCCTATTAAGGAGTTTTATCTAAATCTATCTCCACTCTTGGGGCCTTCAAAGAAAAAAAAAGATTATAGCCAACGGTAAAAAGAATTTCTTGCATGCCATAAAACCTTTGCAAAGAGATTTGAGACAGATAGTAATGGGCAAGTCTGTATCTGTAGCATACAAATGTGCAGAGTATGTACATGTATAAATTCATACATTAATAGATAAGTATTGATAATTAGGATCAGGAAAGGAAGTTCACTTTTTCTGAGGTCTTGTGTTAAAGGATGACACAGATTTAAATAGCTAAGCAGACAAATCAGAGTTAAAACAGATTTTCTTGCTGCTACATAATTTTGAATCATAATGAAATATTTCTTGATATTGTATAAGTGTGATTTTATTGTTCTCAAATTGTGATTAAAATAGATCTAAAGAAGTAATTGAGTAAATTAGTATGCCTAAGTCTTTCAAGAGTGTTCTCAGAACTGAACATTTTTCATGTTAAGAGTCTTCATGTAGTAAAAACTCAGGCACTGGCATACAGAACACAATTAAAAATTAAAACACAAAGTAGCTTTTTTAAATGTTCTCTTTACAACTATTTTATGCTGTAATATATTCATTTTATACACAGCAAAGTTGAAAAGTTTCATATTTAAGTATGTGGATAACTTATATGCTGACAGCATCCAGTGAACTGTTGGTTTCATTCATCATGTAATGAGATCCATTAATAATTCTGAATGTTGCTGGATTTCACTTTAAAATAAGTAATGTCCACATACATCCTAAACTAATCATTTTTGGGAACCTTTTGTTTAAAGGTTTCACTCAGCAATTTCTTACCAAGGAAAAATCCTAACAGCAGAAAGACATAAAAAATAAGTTATGCTTTCTTTTCTCCAAGTGAATAAATGGGTCCCCAGTGGGGAAGTTCCGCGTTTTGATGCAGTATGCCCATACAAATATTCAATACATGACAATGCTATATTTACTACTTTACTGTGACTTCACCTGAAGCTGGGGACAAGTTGTAGGAGCTATGTTAAACAGGGAGGCTCATTTAAAAATAGGGTTATTCTTTGCAAGGGTGGGAATAACCAGTGAAGAGCCCTTTGCATGTGTAAAATCTCAGCAGAGGCCAGGGAGGGACTACCATGGGTGGCTTCAGAGGGTTGTCTGGGCAAGGTGATACTGCCAAGTCTGTTGTTCACCACAGTTAGTAAAATCTGAAGTTTGTGCTGTTAATGGCTTTTGGTTATACCTGTGGCTCCTCATATGGGTGATGTACCTAAGGGTGCAAGAGAGCTCCTTGCCTGTGGAACCATATCCAATGGGCTGCTGCTGCAGTGACCCATTGCAAGCCTCAGGTACTTGGATGTCCCTGCTCTGGAAGTCCCTGGCTCGAGGCTGGGCTGGATGGGGTCCTGGGAAACCTGATTTAGTGGATGGCATCCTTGCCCATTGTGAGGGGTGGAAACTAGGTGAGCTTAAAGGTCTCTCTGAAACCAAGCAATTCTATGATTTGTGTGAGACTGTCAAAGCACACAATTCCCAGTTGGTGCATTGCATACCTATATTAACATCCCATACCTGCCTCACCTGTATTAAGCTCACAACACCCTTCAGGTATAAGTTCTTCCTGATTACAAATTGTGAGAATCTGCAGGACTGCTGACAAAAACTCAGTTTTATTTCTTAGTGATACCTCTGCTGTCTTAAGTGGATGATGCTGGGGTTTCTAAGTGATGCCTCCTTTTACCATTTTGCTAAGGCAGCAAGTGAGGAAATAAAGTGATGAAGTTATGTTAAGCCACAGAGTGATAGCACAGCAACTCCCTTAAAATGTGTATCCATTTTCAACTTCTTGAACCCTTTTTCTTTTCTTTATCCTCTCCATGTATTAGCAGTACCACTTAGTTAGATTAGCACCTGTCTACCCAAACAAAGTAAAATCTGATTTATTGCCCTTCAGTTCTTCTTTAGAGGAGTATCATCATGCTGTGCTAGGCCAGACATTAGCCCTTGAAAAACTCAGTTTTAGTGGTATGTATAAAAAATATGCCTGTATTTTATGTTGAATATTGGCAAATGGTTGTTTTCTACCCAGAAATGTTGCAGTACTCATTGCCTACATTGCAGAAAAAGGGAGAGAAGATAAAGAATAGCATTATCAGCTCTTGGAGGCACATTTGGAATACCTACTACTTTGTAGATTGAGCTTATTGTACTAATGTTCCATGACATCCACATTTTAATCTTCATTACTCTGAAACAACCCCTGGCTTTGTACAAGCTACCCCAAATAGCACTTCCGAGCCCGGTTCGTCGACAGGGTTTTTGTTGTACTAGGCATTGTGCAAACGTGGTGTGTTTACTCTCAAGGACCTTACAATCTATTTCTAATAATAGGTAAGATGTGACTAACCTTTGATTCTTTAGCTGCATATGGCTCTCAAGCTGTTCAAGTGCTGCACTGATGCTAGGGCTTCTGAAGGTCACGTTGGGATGCAGGTGCATTTTGGGACTGCCCTGCTTGATAGAGCCCTGGGAGTCGTCCTCCTCACTGGTGTGTGAGCTACCTTGGGAGGCTGTGTGACAGCTCAGAGGTGTTTGAATGGATCTTGTGGTTGCTGCCTGTATGGCAGATTTTGTGCAGGTCTTACAGCACTACAAACACTGACCACCCCTACAATGTGTAGATGGAGAGAAGCCGTTCCTTTCTTTTTCTTTTAGTCAGCACTGAAGTTTTCTGGGAATGACCGAAAGAGAGACTGTGAAAGCTTTTGTAAGGAGCTCATATAATGAATTTTATATCTAAGATACCTTTTTTTTTATTTTTAGTTTTGTAATTCTTTGATTGAACTTGAGAAATTACTGAAATTGGCATCTTGAAAGTGTATTTTTAAAGGGATACAGATTCAAACCATTCATGCTAAAATCAACCCTTTGGACAAAGGATTTTGTCCTGGAAATCAGAGCACTGCAGTTATTTCCAATATGAACAAGTCCAGTGCTGGAGGCAGCTGGTGCTAGCCTTCTCTCACTGAACATGCACACAGCTAGGTTCAGCTAACCTGCAGCTGGAGCAAAACAGAAAATGTCCAGTGTCTGTTTGCATTGGAGTTAAAATCCAAGGAATAATTTTGCCGGATGTTATAGCAACGCAGGTTTCTTTTCCTCGCTTTCCCATTCCTTTCTAGCAATGCCTTTTTCAGGTGCATTGTTTGTCTCTTCTTGCCATATACTGCCATTGAAGCGATGTTGGCTACAGTCGCTGTGTGCTAATGCTTTAGAGGTCTGTGATGCCAGCATGCAAAGCACAAGAGTAACACAGTGGGGTAGGAGATTAGCAAAAAGAGGGGAAAAGAAAGACAGCTAAGTATAAAGAGCAGTCTCAATAAAGCACTGTGGAAAGCATGATAAAATGAAGAGGTAATGCGAAAGTGAGAATTAGCTAATGTGTGGTTGCCTTCTTTAGATGGGGAATACACATGTTCACCTGGAATAGTAATTTTTAGTGCAGTGTAGTAAGTGTTATGCCTTTGAACGGGGCGTGATACCTTATATGATTCCTCACAGAGGAGCTGCAGCAATTTCTCAGTGTGCTTGCCTGCTCTCATTAGCAGGATGGAGTGATTGACCTCGCATGCTCTGTGGGGGTGTGTGCCTGGCATGTTCTGTGTGCAGGGAGGGACGTGTGCGCCCGAGCGCTCGGGGAGCAGCTCCCCATCAGTGGCTGT